TTTGGGGGCCTTGCCAGGGAGAGAGGCAAATCACCTTTGCGGCGCTAGCCAGGATGCCACGGTCCCAAAAACGCGCGCTGAGCTTCCGAGGTTCGCGCCAACAAGCGCCAGAACACGCAGGCGAACGAGGAGTTTGGGCTGACGGGCAGAAAAAAAGAGACCTGCTGCCTCTCGCGCATCCGCGGTGAGATTGCTGGCGTTCTCCAACCCAAGCGCGTCTTCGCCAAGCCAGATCTGAAGCTGCAGGGAATTCTTCCCGCCGCCCGGCCGGAGCGGAAGCTGCTCCATTCACGCGCGCCAACCGCTTCGCTGCAACGTCACCGACCTCGTGAAGATCTGGGAGAAAGCACCTGGCAGCTGGCACCTCGCGGGTCGCAAAAGTGGGCAACCTGCAGGATGGTTGCTGACAGCGCTGTTCTAACGGCTGATTCCTTTTCCATTCTTTTCAACCATCGTTCTTTTTGGGTTTCCGGAGGTTTTCTAGAAAGAAAGATCCCTGGAAAGAATGGGAAAGGTAGCAGTAGAACTGTGGCAGTCAGACAAATCCACGGCCAACCACCTTGGCAGCTGCCGACTTCACCAGCAACGCCAATTACAATCCCTCACCGATCGGCGTGGCCGAGCGGCCTGCGCCACTTCCAACAGTCCAGGGGTGAACCCCCCTGCGCCTTCGCTCGGCCACGCGCCACGCGCCCAGCTGCACCTCTTCTTCAAAAAACGCTGTCTACGCGCTCGTGCCCCCGTTGGGCGGTCAAGGGCAGGCCAGAGACCAAAAGGAGGGCGCTGTCAAGACGGGCACGCCGGCTTGTCCCCCTTGGCAGTGTCTGAAGTTGCACCACGAACCTCACAGCACCACTTGGAGCATTCGGTGAGTACCTGAGAACCCATTTCGCAATCCTATAGAGAAAGTTGATTTAGGAGTTGTCGGACGTGAAACCACCCAAGGGACAACGGGGTATGGACTTGTTGTACGGCTAAATAGAGACTGTGTAGTTTTCCCTTGACGGAATCTCTGGATCGTCTGGCCACAAGCTTCCATGTCCCAATCGCCTCGATTGAGCGCGGGGTTTGTTAGGAAGTTGGTTCAGGCATATTGGGGATGTGATCCTCTGCATTGCCACTCCACGTAGGCCTTTCACGCTTCAAGCTTTTGTTGCAAGGCCCATGCTACTTGGCTGGTCCGCCTACCGCCCACCGACAGGTCGACAAGTAAGTGTCCCTCCCGCCTCTTCGTCGGAGTAAGAGCAAGGCGTTCCCTTCCCTGGCGTGCGCTGCAACTTGCTGATTTTTTAACCGGAAACGCAAAGATGCAACACCTCCTCCGGAAGAACTCACACTGCACTCGAGAAAGAAATACTTGCACAAACCCTCTCGCGGTCTTGGTGTTTCCGTAGGGACGTGGGTGAAACAGGGTGAAGCAGGATAACAAATGATACTCCACTCCTCCCATCTCCTGTCTGCCGACTGCCCTCCCATGCGGACGAGCTGCGTGCAACTTGGGGCGGTGCCATCATCTTCTTGGCCTCCTCCTGGATGACTTACCACCGACTTTGACTGATGGTTTCTCCCCTCCCCACCCCAAAAACCAACAAAACCCTGAAGCTTAGTGCGGAGACGTCGCCATTGTCGGGATCCATCCATGATTGCCCCTCTTGAGGAAAGAACAAAAGCCACGGCCATGCTGCCATGCTCTCCGAGATCGCTGCCTTGGCCTTCCGGTTGAGCTTCTTAGCCTCAAGTTGGAAGCTTGGAGCTTCCCGGCTGTTTCCCACTTGGAACGCACTCCTTGGACAGCTGAATATCAAGAATGCGCTTCCGAACTGAAAATTCGAGCAACCAATTGCTATGCAACCAGTCAAGCCCATCTTGAATCCGGGTAAAGGGCTTCCGTTGGATTCTGTTCAGGGGATGCTCAGACACAGGCTACAGTATGCTGATGTCAGATGGTTTACCAGCTGCGGAAGCCAAGGGCGCCCTCTTCCTGCTCTAGATACATGAACAAAGTCCCTTGGGCAACATACTTTCACCGAACCTCATAACATGCTTGTCAGCTGCTCATCGGCACGCAGAAACGTGCCTGCACCAGTTCGTGCTGACCATGAGCGAAGCTGCAAGCGTCTCCCAACTCACAGCAACCTCAGCAAACGCATCGTGCGGCACATCTCAATTTTCAACGATCTGCTCCAGTGACGAGACTTTCAAGCAACCGGAGTCAGCCACCCTCGCAGAGCAGGGCTTGTTTCTTTGCTGCGTCTGGACGTGTCTGCATAGCATGCGTGTCAAGATTCTGAGGGCGTGGTAGGGCCGAGCAGGGCGTGGCTGACTCACAGGAGTTGGGATGCCAACCAAAATGTCCTCACCCTACCCTCAGTCCTCAGCAAACCCATCCAGCCGGAGACGCTGGAATCCTCTCAGTTTACGCACCTGAGGCCCTCATATCAACTATATGCTTTGGCCTTGAAAGCGTCTAGACGCGCTCGTTACTTTCAGTGGTAAAAGACACAAAACGAGCACCCGCCCGAATCCGGCCGCGGCTTCTGGTTGCACTGCATGCTGAGTCTTGCACCAATCGCAAAGGACTTGCAGATACGTGTCTTTGAGAAGTCGGGCCTAAGCTTCGAGTCTCCAATCGATGCTGCGTGGCTTTCTTTGCGCCCGTCGGGTGTGTCACAAACTCTTGTTTGATTCTGCTGGGAAAGCCTCGCGTTTTGAAGTCCACATAAACCCCTAACTGAACCCCAGGGCAAAGTGCCACAGCGATCCGGTGAGCTTACGCAACTTATGCACAGCTCTTGGCATATCAAGGCAAGCAAAACACTGACCTTTCAACCTTCAGCTTGCCGTATTCCAAATCAAATTGAATAATACAACGTGTAGCCGGCAAAGGGTTCTAATATTTGGCCACCAACTTTGATAGTATTGGTTGCGTGAATTCTTGACAGAACACGAGCTGTTCTGAATTCAATCTGGGAACGCGGTTTTACTGGCGTGCCCTCAGATCCCCTGCTAAAAGTTCAACTTTTAGTGGGTTAAATGGAAACTACCACTAAACACGAAAAGGCTACCAAGTTTCGAGATGGCGGTCAGCCTCAAATAGGGTCTCAGGCCTTGCCCAAAAAACTGAAAGGTGGAAGGAAACCCAAGAAACACACACGTCAATCTGCGGCAACCCCATGGCTCCTTACGCAGCTTGCCGAAACGGCTCCACACGGCCCCCTTTGTTTGACGACGTGTTCGTTTCAGAGTACTCTATTCAGGTTGGTTTAAAGGGAAACCAAAAGGAAAACCTTCTTCGGGTCCGACTTTTTGGGCACATACCAATGCCATGCCACAAGCTGTCGTAAGGACTACATTTGCAGCCCGAACTCATTTTTTCTACGCGATTGGGCCATCCCTTGATTCATTCATTTCATGTCATTTCATGTCATTTCATGTCATTTCAGATGTCATTTCATTTCACGTCGTTTCATTCCATTCCATTCCATTCCATTCCTTTCCTTTCCTTTCCCCATTCATAAATTCCTTCCATCCTTCCTTCCTTGAGGCATGCATTCGTTCCTTCCTGCCCGTCTTGCGTCATTCATTCATTCATCCATCCATCCATCCATCCGTTCGTTCGTTCGTTCGTTCGTTCGTTCAATCAAGTGACTCGACTCCGGGAAAGTTGGGCTGACTACCTTGAAGACCGGTCAGGGTTCAGCCGAATGCCGAGGCGCATTTCCTTGAGGTCGGTGTCGCTGTGGGCAAAGTTGCAGGCCGAACCCCGCTTGCAAGCCCCCGCCTCTCGGCGACGTGACTGCAACCCGGTGGAAAGTGCGGCTGGGTTCTCAAAATGGACCCCTTTTGGTTGGCAATCTTCCATTTGGTTAAGACCCCTGGAAAAAGTGAATCATATGTCCAGTAGTGATAGATTCCCTTTAAAACCAACAGGGGAAAATTAAAACATAGTCTTAAGCAAATAGAAGCAATCAAAGGGAAACCCAAGGAAACCACCTGGAGGGGTCCCTAATTTTGAGAAACACCCATCTGAGTCTGGGAAAGTCGCTGCGAGCGAGCGAGCAAACACCTCTAGCCTCATCTGTCCATACCCAAATCTGGGCTGGTTCATGTATTCGGAAGAACGGTCACAGCCAAACTGCATTAATCATAGGTGTTCCAGTCCGAGCTCCTTTGCAGGTAGATCTATTCACAACCTGCAACTCCGGAATGGGTCTGCCAACTGCTGACTATTTGGCAAACACGATTGGCTCTCAGCTTTCCCAGGAAGGTGATTTGGCGTGAGGGATGAAAGCTCGCACGCCGTCCGTGCCTGATGAAAGCTGCAAAGGCGAGTTTGCTTGTAGAACCTGCCCAGCTGGAGGTCAAACGCATAAATCATGTGCGACAGCAAGCATCGGAATACAACAACCATGAAATAGGTAACAAAGTGCCAGGAGTTGTAATCATTACGGTGCCACTGGCCAACTGCATGTCCAGAAAGCGTGAGGGTGGGCCATTGAAAACCAACAAATGGTCAATGCGAATGGCAAGCCAGGTTTTCCCGAATTCTTGGGAGGGTCTGCGTTTTTGGGCCGGGAAAAGGGGAGGTATCCGACTGCACTACTTGACTGTTGACTGAACAGAGATCCTTACATTGTACACCTGAACATTGCAACTTGTAAATGGTGGTGTCCCTTTACTTTGGAGTTGCAAAAGCCATGTTTCAAATGGTTGCAAAATGTATCTTTTAAGGAGTCCTGCTGAATTTTTAGTAAACCAGAGCATGTTAAGACCAACACCGCCTTCAATAGTTCTGGGGCAAACGAAACTCCGTGCGAATCGACGGCGCTGCAGCCTCTTCTTGCTCTTCCAAGCCTAAGGCGAAACAGGCAAGAAATGACACCGGGGCCACCACCATGTCCAAAACATCGCCTAGATCCGGAGTTCGACAAGACACGATCTCATCCTCAATCACCTGGTTGGCGGCCATTGGGAACCTTGGCAAGAAGCCGCAAGCTCTCAGCATGCAGTCAGTGCCCACTTGTTTTGCTGCCCCCTAGTCAACAGGATTGTCTTCAGACGAGGCTCCAAAGAGCGAGGTGCTGTACTGCGTTCTGTGAGGCGGCGCTGCTTGAGCTGCAGACAGGATCGCTTTGGCTATCCCTAGCACGAACTCAAGCCTTGTGAGCTTGCCCGTCCCACCGAAGCACCCGAGTGGTGAATCCCAAATGCTATATATGCAGCAAACATGACATGGACGCGTGTTTCTTTCGGGGATCCCCAAAATGGGTGGCTTTTGCTTTTGGCTTCCCTTCAAGGCCGTATCGAGTTTTGCGACATTCGTTGACCACAGACGCTTCGTCGCTTTTCCCTCGCCCGCATTTTTTACCTGCTGCTACCGCGCTCTGCTCTGGCCCCGCTTGCCACCTTCCTTTTCGGACTCGCCAGCGCTGGCCTCCCCTTGGCTCGCAAATGCGCCTCGTCTCTCGCCGGGAACCCGTCTCCGTCGTCAAATGCGACGCCAGGGAGCCGTGGTAAACGCGCCCACTCAGAGACTCAGAAGGCCGAGATATTGAGGAGCTCCACCTATGCAAGGCTCCGCCCCGGATCTGCGGCGGAGCCTAGGCGTGAACCTTTCCCGACTTCATGGGGCGGTCGCGAGCGGCGACCTAGGCCGCACTTCCCTTGCGCCTTCTTTTCTGCGAGAAGCCCAGACGAGCCTCCGATCCCAACGGAAAGAATCCGATCTCAAGCGAGATCAACATGCAAATCCACTTGTCGCTCCGATTTCCGAAAACCCTTGCATAGCCCAGTCGGCGATTTCCTCACTTTGCACTCCCTCACCTCCCCCAACTCCCACAACCCAAGCAGGGCACTTGCGGTAGCTTGGTTGCCGTTGGGAGGGGAGCAAGAAAATCAGTTTTAGGAGTTCAGTGGTTGGATTTCCCACCAAACCACAATAAGCAAAAATGTAAAATGTTTCCCAACAACATCCCAACAACAACCATGGTAGGGGCATGCTCCTTGGATCGCGCACCAAGTCTCTGAGACCTCGCATGTTCTGCGCCTCGACGCCTCGCTCGCTCCGCTCACTCCGCTTCGCCGGCCTCAAAGATTAAGTCCGTGTCGGGGGGTATAGAGCCGCCGGCGCCTGGGAGTGCAAGTTTTCTTTTTTCTTGGGAGGGGTCGATTTTGTGAGGGTTGGTTGACTGACCGGCTGGCTGGCTATTGGTCGGGCGGCTGGCTGGTTAGTTGGCTGGCTGGCTGGTTGTTTGGCTGGTTCAACCCTTTTTGGGTTGGTTCTCTTGGATGCGCCATGGGAAACCAGGAAGAAACTGTTTGTTTTGAGGGGTTCCCTCAATCCAAGACACACCCATTTTGGAGGACTCCATAGGCTATGCAAGGCTCTCCAGGAAAACCTTTCCCATGGCTCACCTTGCCACAGATCTGGATGGAGCTTTCCCTTCAAGGACTTTGGCACAGTAAGCTATGCAAGATCTTGAGGCATGCAAGACCATACTGTGGATGGACGAAATCCGCTTCGCACCACTTTGAAACCATGGGACACCATTGCCTGTTGGTATTTGTGGGGGAATCATCCTTCCAGGGGTTCTTAGGTGGTGCAGGATTTCGTCCATCCACAGTACTGTCATGAAATTGCTCTCACACGTCAGTGACATCATTGCATTCGACACGCGCATGCGAAGGGCGCGAAGCCTGTCGCTCATGAGGCTTCACGAAAAACTTGCTGGGCGAGAGATACAGGGAAAGAGAAATGGAACGACCCCAAGAAAAACCATCCGACTGGTTACTTCCTTTAAGGGGAAGCTTGGGTTCGTTCAACCACATTCCCTACCTATCGCACCAGCAAGAAAAAGACAGCCTACCGGGCAGAAAAAGCCGCGCCTTGAGCGCCGTAAGCACAGCTCGCGGGGATCGAAAGCACCGCCTTTTCTCCGAGGGACATCCTGGGGGCTTCGCATGACTGCACGGTTGTCAAAGTGTCTCAGTTGCTTTCTGCTCCCCTGCCAAAAGTCTATTTTTTAGCGGTTTATTACGGAAACCCCATTAGTTGGCAAAAAGTTAAAGTCTTAACATCCAAGCAAAATGCACCAAAGGTGTAGTCTTGGACGCTGGAGAGATTCTTGGATTTAAGTTCTGGCATTGACCTTCACTTGTGAGAACCGTCTTGGCATCGACCTCGCCGCTCGTCCCGTTTTCGAACGGTCCTCTGTAGGCCTTCGTCCCAGCCTGCGATGACCTGGCCCACGCCTAGCTGGAACCTCGACACGCGCACGAAGGGTTTTTGTCCAAGCTGGGCTGTCCGATTTCTGATCCGCTGCGAATCACTTTTAGTGGGTTACCATGGGTAAACCCAACCAAACCAAAGCCTAAGGGGACGGTTGGAAACCACCAAGTGGCATTTCACCCGGAAACTTCGAACTTGGGCCAAGTGATTTGCAAGCATAAAACCCACGCTGAAGCCTGGCTGAAACACCAGCTTGCTGGCCAAGCACCCAATGTTTCCAGTCCAGCCTTCTTTTAGCTGGTTTTGTGGGGGGAAAAATGCACTGACAAGCGCAACCTCGGCTCAGAATCCCGGGCGCAAAGGAAAAAGTGGGCTTACTAGCATGGCTAACAAGGGTTACCCTCTCTCCCCCGAAACCCGCCAACATGTTACCTGGCAGAAAAGCGAACCCGCTTTGGCATTTCATGTGGGTGGCTGAAACTAAACGGGATTCAAAGGGTGCCACAGATTCGCTGGGGGTTGATCAAAAGGTCTTTTACATGGAATGACCATTGGGGAAAGCACCAAAAAGATATGACATTTCCCATATTTGGTGCAAGTTACCCATGGTCAAAACTGGAGGCCTTTAAGGGAAAACAGATCAACCACCGAACGGCGGTCTCGGGGCCCCTGGCCGAAACGGCAGTCCCCGCTCGTAAGAGGAGTCAATCCGCTGGCCCGTGGCCGCAATCCGGCCTCGGAGCGTGAGCATTCGAGCGCTCCCAGCCTTCCAGCGCTCCCAGCCTTCCGAGGCAATGACAGGGGTTATTATTTTGAGGGTTTTTGGGGTTATCAAAGGCAGAAATGGGGTTGTTTCCCTTTAACCCACCACTTGGGGGCTGACTTTGACCATGGTAAAATAATACGGCCAGAATGAGGATGTGTTTTTTTGTCGACCGGCTTTCGATGTCGACACCAAGCGATGAGAAAATGTGGTTGGTTTGTAATGTCGGCGCCATGAGGGCCTAGTGTGAGAATGTGGTTTCTTTTTGCAGAAGTGAGACATCTCGGTTGCTTTAAGTGAATAACGTTTAGTGGCTTAATGGAAACCCCATTAGTTGGCAAAAAGTTAAAGTCCTAACATCCAAGCAAAATGCACCAAAGAAATCTATGTGGGAACTCCATCCATTCCCACAGAAAACCACCAAGGCCATGTGATCGGATCACTCCGTTGCGTTGCTGGTGCAAAGCCGGGAAACAGCCGAAAAGCCGGCTGAAAACAAGCCAACCGACTGGTTTAAACCCAAGCCACCCCACAAATGCCCTGACAAGGCAAGTGCAGGCCTGAGATTCAACCAAAAAGCGAAAGCATTCAGAACAGTCACATCCTGACTCTTCACTCCAAAAGAATGCGTAGGATGGATAGCACAGAAATGCATTTCTTCTCAGACCAGGTGTGATCAGTGATCTAGCAAGCAAGGCAATGAACCCGTCTGAGCAGTGCGCCCACATAATGCGTGTGGAGTTTGTCGCCCGGCTTTGGATAGGTGACACCTGAGTGGCAATGTGATGTATCGCAAGCAATCTCTTTGCCCTGAACCCCATGTTTGTCATACCCAGAACATGATTCACACATCCCAGCTACAATGTTTACCCCCCAATTCCCACACAAAATCATCCGAGGCCCCCCAATGCAGTTGAATAAGGGCCCTATCGGTTGTCTCTGCATGGACTCCACGAAGTGTTTCAACTCTGAGATTTCAAGTGGAAACTCAACCATTTTACATCTTGCTTGACAAGTATATCAGGTATCCTGTAACAAGCTTCTGCTTTGAGAACGCACGTCATGTAAAAGGAAAGATCATCTTTTTGTACCGGACTATCAAATCGTTAGGCTCACCTTTGACTTGTGCACACACTTTTGGTTGAGCACACCGTGCAGCCAAACATCGCTTGCACCCCCGCGGAAGGCACCTAGCCAGCGGCGCACGAGCTAGATGAGCATTGGCAGAACCAAAACAAAGAAAAGACAGCATAGGTGTGTGTTGTGTGTGTTGTGTGTGTGTGTGTGTGTCTGACTCGGCAAGGGTCGTGAACACGGCAAGCCGCGCCAAACTTCCTGTCCATCAAAAAGTGTATCAACTGCATTCCCAGATGTGAGTAACCGACGATCCAACATGGATACCCCGGTCTTTTGTCTGTTGCTCGTGTGGCCATGGGTCAAAAGCCCGTAACCCCAGTGAACATCCCAATCCCCACTAGAATAGACTAAAATGGGTGGTGCACCTACCCCAAAATGGGATCCCATTGGTTCTGACCCACAGCCATGTGTACTTTCTGGGTACTTCCGACCACTTGACGAAGGCACAGAAGCGCATTGATGAGAAGCCGAGGGCCGAGAAATGAATCAAATCGGCTCGCCCAAACCTCTTTCACCGCTCTCCTCAAAGGTTCTGATGGAGAAATATGGATCTCGGCTCATATGGCTGTGGGGAAAAAATACGTACCCCAAATGGGCTGCCCTGGTACATGGACACATAGACTAAAATCTCTGGTGGCTGATTTTTGACCCATACCGTAATATGTCCCAAACCTGCCCATCCCATGGTGAAAACTGTCTTTTCTTTTCGAGCGTGTTTGTAGCCCAGATCCTTCACCACTCCTAAGCCTCCATTTGCAAGTCCCCTGAAAAAATAAAATATGTCCCGTAGTGATAGTTTCCCTTTGAAGCCAACAGGGGGAGAAAAAAAAAACTATTCTTGAGCAAATGGAAGTAAGTCAGAGGGTAAACACCCTTCCCCGCCCTTCCTTTCGATCTTAGGACGTGGCCGTCCCCAGGTCGGACCACCTGCACCTGAGCCCAAGAGCCGCGGATTCTGGACGACAACTTGCAACTTGCTTCCAATGGAATGCCCCCGATCAACACCACAGGGGAACCTTCCCCATTCCAGGGATCCTTCTTTCTGAAAATTCTCAATAAAGCCAGGCAAAACGGCCGGTGTTTGAAAAGAGCGATGCTTGAAAAGACTGGGGAATCAAGGAGGAATCCCCCAAACCGGTTCATTCCCAAAACCCGGGCTCGGTAAATTCCCTACCTATCGCACCAGCTCATTCCAAGACGTCGTGAATCCCGCCTCCACCATGGCAGATGCAACGACGGATGCGGACTGGGCACTTGGTTGACTCGTCTGATGCTCCCCAGGAATGGAGAATGGCACACGGTGCTGACGGCGCATGCTTCGATGTTGCAATGCTCAGATTGCTTGGGGCTAAGATAGATATGAGGGGCCCCACGGGAGCAATTGCCGCTCCTCCGAAATTGTCTCCTACTTGCGTCTCTACTACACGCAGTGAGCATTGCTTGTAGTAAGAGGCCAAAGAAGCATCATCTTCTGCCTGCCAGATGACCTTTCTTTGTCGCGCCGTCGCGCACAAAGCAGGCCCTGTCCTCTGTTAGGATGGGGCGTGCATTTCGGAAAGCAACGGAAGTGCCCAATTTTGCGGAGTTTCGGCGCAGTTGGATTTCACAGCGATGGCACGTGGCCTATGCAAAAGCTCTGAGGCCGCATGTCCGCAGTAGGCGCTGAGGAACAGCCTACCTTCCGAGGATGACGGGCTTTAGCTGAGCGCCTGAGATATTTAGCTGGAACTCCGCTTTTTTCACGGCTTGATGCATCAAGAACCCAAAGCTGAAACACAAGTTCACACTCTCCGATTTCCGATCCCCCACTAGGCCTCCCAACCACTAAACCAACCATAAACCAACCATAAACCAACCCAAAAAAAGAAAACGCTCCCAACCACTAAACCAACCAAAAGGTTGGGGGAAGAAAAACAAAAACGGACGGCTGGTTGCTTGGGCCAGCTTCAAGGCGCGTGGGCCGCCGCTCACTTCCAGGCCCGAGAGTTCCCGCGGCCGCTGCTCTTCTCCTCGGAAGAGCGGGATCTGCGGCGAGTTGTCGCTGGCCTTCGCTTACAAAGAACGTGGGAGGCTGAAAGTTGATCAAAAATCAAAGAGGTGTTTGATTCATGGGATGACCATTGGTTGGAAGACCACCAAAACAAGGTGGAGCTGGCAATTACCCAAGGGGAAGGTCTGGGCCGAAGGGAGCATAGATCAACCCCCCATTCGATTCAGTGGATCCCTCGGTCCAAGATCTCTCGGTCCAGCCAAGTCCTTGGCAGCAGCTTTGCGGTAGCCTGACGCGATGGAACATTTTACCTGGGCCCCGAAAAAGACAACCAAACGGGAGGCGGGGCTGGAACAAAACGAAAACACCGGCGGATCTTTGGGGAGCCCTGGGCCCCTGGTGGCACAGTGCTCGTAACAGTGTTTCGCAAACAACGATGAACACATCATCGCATTTTGTGAACTTCCATGCCGTACTTGAAAACACTGCTGTTCTTCTTCGGTCCCTCACTTGCCAAGGCCTATTGCATGTATACTGAAAGCCCCCTCCTCCACCCAGAGATGCCAAGTATCCCAAGATTCAAGGCAAGAGGTTCGATGTTTCCGACTCAATCAACCATGCAGGAAAGCATAACCTGAACAAAGATGCAACTTCGAAAACCAAGATGACCATGCCAACTAGAGATTCCTCCCAAAATCTACCCATCATTCATCGGTTGCTGTTGACCCCTAAGTGAATAAATCATTGTTGCTTCAATTCAGAACATCCTTGATTTGCCAAGACAAAAAAGCTAGAGATGCTGAAGTCTAAACAGATCGAAAGAGGGGTCCCGACCCTTCTCGAACGTCGTCCGATGCCAGGCCTTTGGAAGCCGTCATGGATCCGCTCGTTGCCTTGCGATGGGTGAAACTCCCCACGGCGCCTTTGGTGCGGAGATGGCAACTGAACGACTTCGGTTGGGGTGGCTGAACTGTTTGAAGAGCCAGAAGACCGCAGGTGCTTTTTTTGTCTCAACTGGAGGTGTGCAATTGGAAGCCCGCGCACAGGTTTCAACGACTGACACGCTGTCCAAAAGAATCCCCGGCCAAAAGCGGATAACTTTTAGTGGGTGAAACACGGAAACCCAACCACTAAACCAACTTTAAAAATAAAATAAAAATAAAAATGGCTGGTTGAACCACGCTGGCTGGAAATTGCTGCAGCCCTCCCGTGCGTAAGCCTGGGCAGCCTGAGCAGCCTGAGCAGCCGGAGCCGGCGGAGAGTACGCCTCCTCCTCTTCTTGGCCCTCAGCAATGCTCAAGCCTATGACAAAACAAGGGATGGGCACCAGAAAACCGATCCATCGTCCATTTTGAGGAGTCCGATCCAAAGTCCCAGCTTGCCCTGAGGTTATGGAAAAAAATGGCGCCAGCTGACATACAACGAAGAGCGGTATCTCAGGCCACTCAACCGGAAAAAAGAGAGAAAAAAAAAAGAGGGGGAAAAAAAAAAACGATCTTCGCTTCCCTTGACACGCATGTTCCCGGTCTCAGACAAAATGACAACTCAGCGGTGACAAACTTCAAGTGTCGGAGCACAGCACCCTTCGCTTGCCGGAATCTCCGATCTGCATCTGATATGTTGGGGTCACTGCCAACAAAAAATATGGGCCTGTCCTTTTCTTGAGGGTATCCCTTTCTGGGGCGGGAATTTTTCGGGAACCCCAAAGGAAACCAACTGCTTTGGGGGGTCCCCCCCAAAAAAAACTTATGGCCATGGGTCAAAAGTCCGTACCCCCACTGAACATCCCAATCCCCACTAAAATAGATTAAAATGAGTGGTGCACCTACCCAGGCTTCGGCTCGAAGCTACACTGCCCCCTCTCCAACGGCCAGCCGGTCGGACTGGGGAGGCCCACGCTGGCGCGCGCCTGCGGCTGGAAGAGGCTCGGTACGTCTGGAGGGGGGAAGCCATGGACACCTAGAGTCCGTTTTGCAGACTCGAACCCGAAAAAAATAGAGGTTGCAAAATAAAAATAAGGAGGTGCAAAATAAGGAGACTGACTCAACAGAAGGAGGTTCCAAAAAGGCCCTAAGTGTCCATCATACGGGGGGGGGTCCAAGCGCAAGTGGACCGCCAAATACAACACGAACGGGTGAAAGTAGTGTGGACATTCACATGGCCTGCGGGAGAAAAACATTGGGCTGGGCCTTGAGTCGTGAGAAATGGACAATACGCGATTGTTCCCCAAGAGGATGCGGGGAATAGAGGGAATCAGTGGCTCCTGGGCCTTTGTGGGGGATCTGGGTGGGCCCCCACGCGCTCCCCGAACCAACAACAAACTAGCAAGAATATGTGGAAGTTGCTCACACACCTACCAGGGTTTTTGCTCGCACAGCGGAGAGAGAGAGAGAGCGAGAAAGAGCGAGAGCGAGAGGGAGAAAGAGAGAAAGAGAGAAAGAGAGAAAGAGAGAAAGAGAGAAAGAGAGAAAGAGAGAAAGAGAGAAAGAGAGAAAGAGAGAAAGAGAGAGAGAAAGAGAGAAAGAGAGAAAGAGAGAAAGAGAGAAAGAGAGAAAGAGAGAAAGAGAGAAAGAGAAAGAGAGAAAGAGAGAAAGAGAGAAAGAGAGAAAGAGAGAAAGAGAGAAAGAGAGAAAGAGAGAAAGAGAGAAAGAGAGAAAGAGAGAGACAGTCGGGTGGATGATGCGGCTGCCTGAGTCCTTTCCTTTGGCGATTGCCCCTGATGGGAGTCTTCAGAAGAAGGAGAATGCAGCAAAAATCCTGGCCAAGGTGTGGCAGGCAGACTTTGTTTCGGGCTGATTCTATGGGTGCCTTTGCCAGTGACCAATGGCTGGCAAGGTCCAAAACCAGTTGGGAGAGCCCCACACAGAAAGGAAGCCGTTCACCGCCGAAGAATCCAAGTGTTCCCTCTCCTTCACGCATGTCTCCTTCAGTGAACGGGTTTCTGCACGCATTGAGGAAGCTTCCGCTTGGAAGCTTTTGGCTTCGCTTCCAGATCCCCTTGGTCAAAGAAACATCTGCCTCAGTCATGGGGTCGGAAGACTCACTCCCACCCCTCTGTCTCTCTCTCTCTCTCTCTCTCGCTGTCTCTCGCTGTCCGCTTCTCTGCTTGCCTGAAGGATACACGCTCCAAACCCCCCCCCCCTCCCCAAACTTCCTCTGCTTCCAAACCCTTCGTTGCAAACAAGATGCGCGAACGGCAGCAGTTGCTTCTTTCAGCGCCCCCCCCCCCCGCAGGAAAAAATGCTAAGACCGAGAAATGAAACTGCCAAGCCCGGCGGCGTCGCTTGAGGCGGCTTCCCCGATTGGCCTCTGCGGCTATGGCGCGTAGCTCCTGAACCTGAGGTGTCCATACCGAAGAAATTCTGGACTGACCAATAGCCCCCCAACCATACGGGGGAGGGGGGGTTCCATTTATCTAGTCTTCCCCATACAAGGGACATGGAACCATAAATGGAATTCCAGGGTCACCGCCCTATATTTGAGGAGGGGGGGATCCCCCAATCTTCAAACCCAGCTGACTCATAAGTTGAGGTGGTGCTCGGCAAGCATGGGGCGCACTCAAGTTGACGTTAGGAAATGCAGACTCGCCAGAACCCAATGTCATCAGGGGACACCCGCTGAATATTGAAGCCTCGGCCTCACACCTTGTCACGCTATGTCACGCTCGCAGTCACCGGCCGCTTGGGTCAGGGCTACCCTGCGATCACCCATGGGAGTTGAAAGGTCTGGAGAAACTGGAGCCTCAAATCGGATCATATCTGCCAAGTAATTCTAGCCCGAATGCTACACAAATTGGCAACTCGAGATTCTTCCAGCGCATGAGGATCCCGAAAGCCTCATGGCCGTCATTTGGCACAAAAGCCTCACGAATCTGTGCGGCAGGCCCCCCCCCCAGCGATGGCCCCGATGGCCAGCCGACGGCCCCGATGGCCCCATGCGCCCCCGGCGCTCAGCTCTTTGCCAAACAGGCTGAGGTTGGGCGCGCAGGCTGGCGGCGGAAGCGGGAGACGGATCTTTTGTTTGAAAAAAATGGCCCCATGATAAACTGAGAGAAAGAGAAGTGCATTGTTGACCAATTGGCGCGTGTCAATCCCCAGAAACAAAAATCACTGAGGAAGGCACGTGTCAATCCCAAAATAATCACCAGAACGCTGAATTTCAAAATGCGGGCGTGTGCTTGACTCCTCCAACCCTAAAAAACCTGAAGGCCGAAAGCTACCATTTCCAGCCGCTCCCGCCTAGCATGTCGCCATCCTTGAGGTCGCGGTCGAAGCGCTGGGCGGCCGCGGACCTCGAAGCGGGGCAACCGAAGCGGGGATGTAATTAAAAACCCGCGGCGCCTGGACAAATCGAAACTTCGGGGGTTAGAGCCCTTCTGGAGCTTCGAAGTTCAAAGCTGGAAGATGCAGAGGTGGCTTGAGCTGAGGCGAATTTTCGAACCCCGCCATGTTCCTTGGCTTTGCCATGTCTCAGGTTTAGGACGCCGCCTCACGTGCTCCTCCAAAGCTTCCGCAGACTTCCACTCCTGCCACGGACTCTGCAAAGGGTGAACTCGTCGGGTCGTCAGGGCTCCATTTGGTTGGACTGAACCCGGTCGATTTGCCCAGGTGAAACCCATGGCCGTGAGCGTATTGAGGTCATCCAGTCTTGGGTTCTGGTTGCCTTCAACATCAGCAGACTCACACCTCCTTCCCGGAAAAAAGTTGGCCCTTGCGGTTTGCACCGCTTCCATATCCATCCAGGCCAGGCGCTAATCGATCCGTCCAGGGCGCTCCCGGAAGCCAACATTTGAGGAAACCACTTGGCGGATGATGGAGTCCCCAAGCAACCGGCGTGGTAGTACATAAGAACCACCCACACTTCTGCGCCAACATCCCTGCAACTTTCCTCTGCACGACAAAAAAGGTGTGGAGATGCGCAATGCGCGGCTCACGCGCGTAGGCCTGGACCACCATGAAGAGGCTTTGTGCCTGGCAAGGCGATGTGCCAGGCTTGCCAGGCTCGCGCGGCGCCCGTCATTTGGATGAGTCGGGTGGATTGCTATTTGGGCGTCTCTTTTCTTCAGGGTACCCTCGCAAAATGACGGAGTTCCCCTGGGTCTCCCTTTCCAAGCGCGCAACAGGGGTGCCCTCAAAAGGAGACACACCCATTCGTCTCCAAGTGGGGGCTTCATTCATTAGGCGAGGAGTCCAACTGCAAGGCCTTCTCGTGGCAGCTTTCGGAAAAATTGCTATCCATGTCTTCCAGTTGGACACAAGGAACAAACCCCCGACTCTGTCCAGGGTCCACCCCCCGCGCAAGGTGATGTGACCCAGGATTCCTACACCCGGCCAATTCATAGGGGGGGTGTTCCCCGCCCCAGGACCCCGAGAAAGGTAAACCCGTCCTAGGGAAGGAACACCCCGCCAAGAGTGCAGCGACCAAAAACCGGTTCTGGGCTGTCCTCAGATCCCCCGCTAAAAGTGTCACTCTTGACGAAACCCTAGCAAGCCGAAAACCTAAGGAACCGGATTGCTGGGCTTGCCACAACCGGTTGGAATCATCGCGTTTCCAAAAGACGAACTGAGGGAGTTGGCCCCGCCCAAACTTCAAGTCTCCAGGCCGCGCGCCTGGTCGGACACTTGTCTGGACCAGCCTCAGGCCCGAAAGTTGGAAGGCCAAGGAGGCGGTTGTTGTCGGTGCTTCTCACCAAAGCAGCTACATTGCAGGGCTCACTGGGGTGACCCCCGTGGAAAGCTAGGAGTACCAGCAGCTTCCAATAAAAATGCCACTTTCGAAGCTGCAAAAGGGGAAGCTGAGGATCCCTTGGAATATCCAGTTGATTGAGCTCACAAAATACTCAGAGACCATGATGTTTGTGGACAAGTTTCGTGAACGCACGCTCTCTTCTCTTTACCAGTTGTTCCAAGCCCGCACAGTTGTTGCGTGTGTTTTTTCGCACCCAGAACGGCAGTGCTGACCTTGTCTCTGCAAAGATCTGGGGCGAGAATCACTTTATTCACCGACAGGAACGTTTTCGACTGGGCTGCCACTGATGGTCTGGCCTGAACTTTCATGAGAGGAAGTAGACGACAAGGTTGCTGGATTGACAGACTAATTCTGCAAAACCAAAGCTAATCTCCTCCCCCAATTAATGAATGACCCCCATTAATAATAAATGCAAATCCGGGGCCCGAGACCAGATTTCCACTCCGCACAATTGATTTTTAATTGCGCCAATACTAAACCAATACTAAAGTCTTGGAATCCTTATTAGGGGGCACTTTTAACAAGCTTCCAGCCCCACTTTTAAGCTGCGACTGTCTCTCCCCCATACATGCTGGCTAACCTGCCTGGCTGCCAACAAACAACCAGTAAACTGAAAAACAAATAGAATGATACATGAAATTTCCTTATTAAACCGCTTACTCGCGGACCTTCCATTTCCTCCAAATCCTATGCGAACCCTCACATTGTTGGAAAAGCAAAAAAAACCCAACCCCGAAAACCCCAATTAAAAAAAAATCTATTTTTGGGAGGATTTATTTATAATAGGGAGGGGGGGGGGGGCGTATTTATTAATAGGGGGAAGAGATTACGAAACTAGGTACATAAAAGACAGAAAGAAAGAAGAAAAGAAAGAAAAACAGAAAGAGAGAAAGAGGGACAGAGAGAAAGAGAGAATGAGAAAAAACGGAAAGGGAGATCTTTGATCGCGCATGACCCTAAATGAGCGAATGGGTCAAATCCTGTGACAATCTCTGCCAAAATGACCTCCGCACAACTGCACGTCTTGCCCGAAACGCTAAACCACGGGCAACGGCTTTCGGGTAGCCGAAAGAGATGCGAGACAGTTATTTTTTCGTAGCTCATGAGCAAGTTTGCTTGGAACCTCCTGCGGCAAACATGGCTGGCTGAAGGCCGTCCACCTGACACACGGGCCTACGGGCGAGGTGTGCATCAAGAGATTGGAGCGCTCGTCGGCTGGTTTGCGCAAGTGGTCGAAGGCTGCATCGTCGGTAGCTACTTCACTCCCCTTTTCGCAACACTGGATGGCAAGCTTTAAGCCCTGCTCCGGGCGCCCTTTGCGAAGAGAAAGCGAGAGAGCGAGAAAGAGCGAGAGAGAGAGAGAGAGACAAAGAGGGAAAGAAAGAAAGAAAGAAAGAAAGAAAGAAAGAAAGAAAGAAAGAAAGAAAGAAAGAAAGAAAGAAAGCAAGCAAGCAAGCACGCACGCACGCAAGCAAGCCAGCATCCACCTCATCTTCCGCTTAGGATCTACTTCGTGCCCATTTTCCACGCGCACTGCTCAAAGCTGCCATAGTGTCTCGGGCACATCTTGAGGACAATCGCGGTCAATTCACGCTGCAAACCGTACCCGGATCGTAACAGGTTCATGCCACATTCGAACAGTGGTTCTCTGAAGGAGGCGCTGAAGTGGGTGGTTTGCTATTGGCTTCCCTAAGCCATTCCACGGCTGCCCCCCTCCCCCCCCCACCCCCCACCCTCACCCCCCCACCCTCCCCCCCCCCCCCCACTCCCCTCGTCCCCCCTCCCGGGCGCGCGGGCCCAGCTCTTGGTGCACGCTGAAGCCCTGGCAGCTGTCATCCACGCCTTCCGACTGGCGGACGTCCAAAAAGTTACGCCGGGGGTGCACGTCCAACCACTCAGGTGCCTCAAGAACCCTATGTTTGGCCCCTTTTTCGACCTTTCTTGTTTTTGGGAAGGGGGGGTCATGTCCACCAACTCTGGCGGCTCCTTCTTTAAACCCTAAAAAGTAGCCATTGGAAACAAACAAGCCAAGGTCGAGGGCTTCAACTCCCACTCTGAGAGCTGAAGACCAAGTGAGTCGTGAAAGAGGCGTCTCGAAGTCTTTGAAATGCCATTCAGGACGTTCACTCAAAAACTCCGGTTGGCCACTCTCGAAACCTCTCCCACTCCAAGGCCCCTCTCTCACTGTGAGGGCTTGATACCAGCGGCGCAACGATTTCTGTGGCTCAGCTTCGGCTGAAGCCTTCGGCGCTGTGAATATATCACAGGGCAACCAACGAAGTGGCACCAGGTCCCACCAGTTCCCCTCACCAGGAGACAACTCCAAGGACAAGACCCCTCCACTTCCCCCTCAAGGCCTGCATGGGCCGAGACGCGCCCGGCCGCCTGGCAAACTAAGCGGGTCTGTGGCCATGGGCTTTTCAAACCCAATCGGTTAGCCCAGTGAACATCCGATATCCAACCACAAAAATCGGAAGCCTAAAAAATCGGTGGTGAACTCACCTACCAACCAAAATGGGATCCCAAAACGGTTTTGACCCACAGCCATGTGTCAAAAAAATACGGTGAATCTCAAGATGTCTGGTTTTTCTGTGGCCTCCCGGAGTGCCCCAAACAGGGTTCAAGCCTCTAAAACTAAGACAAACCCCCACATACAAGGAAGCAAAACCACGGGCGATACCCATGGCATGCGCCTCGCAGAAGCTCGGGAATGCCGCTCGCTTCACATTGAAGGTGGCGCCTTGCGAAAGGAGGCCGACTTCAGAAGCCCCAAACAAATCAACGGTTGATGCCAAGCAACAAGAGGCCGACGAAAAGGGTCAAACCTGGGTTGAGCCATGCTGGCAACACGAAAACCCCAGAACCTCGCACGGTTGGGCTGGGCAAATTGCAACTTCTCGCAAGGACCTAACCTGCTGACGCAAGGAAAGAACGCGATGCATTCAGCCAGACCTCTAATGCCTCTTTAGAAACAAATGACTTGTGTGGCGCCTCGGCAGAAACTACCAGATCCTGCCACGCGAAGCGTGCTGTAGCTGAGCTCTTTGGTCTGACTGATTCCAGCTGAGCTCTCCGCAAACACGCACTGGCCCAACATCACCCATGGCGCAAGTGCAAAGCAGCGAGAGGTGTGTCTCTGTCGTGGCATGCTATTGTCCCAAGCATTTCCGTCGAAACAGCAAAACTACCTGCATGTCCAATCTCCCTTCAGGCTATGGGTCATGGTACGATGTCCCAGCCATGTTCTTTCTTCTGTCCCGACAAAATCCTGCATCTGGAAGAGTCTGATTCATCTGTGGCTGGCAAGATTAATCTCTTCGTCTGCAGGGAGTTTGCGAGGTGGCCGCCAAATTCATGGGGCCTGCCTGTGGTGAGGCTGCCACAGTCTTCAGCAGCCTTTGCCAGCTTCCAGCGGACCCTGGAGTTGGCTTTGGGGCAACTTACCCTCCCACGGGGTCCTGGAACACAATGTTCCCTTTAAAGAGACCCCTGTCAGGTTCCATGTTCATTGGTGGGCAACAATTACCGGCAAGCGTGGAAAATGTCTCTGGCAATGGAATGATGGCTCCTGCCTTGCAGGATGTTATCCAAAAGCAGAAACCACTGCGGCCGGCAAATTTTCCACGTTCCAGCGAGACTGCGCTGGTCTTTGGCCGCGCTATGCACTCTGTGCGCGCAGGCGACTGGGAGAGCAGACGATGTTGCGATGTCGCCTGCTACCTCAAGCGAAGCTTTCTGAGAATGACACAGATGCCGTGGGACAAATGTCATGCTCCGCTCGAAGGAAGCAGGCACGCCAATCCTCTCCCTCTACCGCTTCCCAATCTAGCAGCGAGCTCGCAACTGTACAACTCCTTTCAGAGAGGAAGACAGTCTTCCGAGGGCAAGCGCAAGCATTGTGATCGTCAAAAGCCAGGTGCTTCAACTCAAGGCACAACAAAATCTGTTGGAACTTTGTCTTTCAAGAGGCCCGTGCTCGGCTGCCACCGCGCATTCGCGACAAAGCGCCAGGGGCGCTTAAGGCGCTAGCTAGCGCGTTGTGCGCCTTCGCGAGCCCTGCGCCGCCTCTTTTTTCACGAAGCGCTTAGCGAGAATCGGAAGGGAAGGGATGGCTCCTGCGCTGAGGCCGTTCGAAGGCCACAGGCAAATTATGGACGGATTGCACCACCCAAGCAAAGCTGGGCCGCTAGGCCGAGGGCCCAAAGGTTTCTATCAGCCCTGGCTTGCACCGAAAGCCCGGACAGGCTGCCTGAATGCTTGGGGATACTATGATAGGCACACGTTGCTCAAAGATCCATGGTAGACTGAGCGCCCCTCACAACCATTTGGGCAGTGAGTCAGCTGCGTTGCTGAGTGCTGGCTTGACGTGTGGAGGATGACGGCTGCATGCATAGGTTTCGATCGTGTGGTAGAAACCGTGCCTTCCCAGGCACCCGAAAGAACAGGCACATCTTGCTGGAGTGCGACGCTTGACATGCTCCTATTGCAAACTGTATCTTGAGGCAGATCTAGCACGTCTTCAGTGCGTGAGGGGCGTGTCATCCATAAAAAGGAGGCGAACCTCATCTATTAAAAAAGAGGCGAACCTTTGGCTGAAAAGACACCGGAGAACACACGAGGATTGCTGAACGAACGCGTGACATGATATCGACCCCGCTTTGCTCGAAATGGTGGCCGGAGTGACACGAGCGCCGCGCGAGTTGCGATCCCGAAGGAGGGGAACCTCAAGAGTTCTTAGTCTCAGACCTTCATTGGGGGGGGGGGGGGGTTTTGGGGGGGTTGGGGGGGGGTTGGGGGGGGGTTGGGGGGGGTTGGCGGGGGTTGGGGGGGAACTTGACCACTTCAAGCCGGGGCTTCTCGGGTTTGACATGCCGTGGTTTTGAAATGCAGCCCATGCCGTTAAGTCGGATACTCTCTGGATCTCCTGGTTGATTGCAACCACCAGTGATTCTGCCAAACGGTTGCAAGCACAACCCAGAGAAGAATGCGCATGTCCAAGCAAAGAAATATCGTTTATTGGTTTTCCCTTGGGCGTTTCGAACTCAATGACGGGAAACATTGGGCTGATCCACCTGCCATGTCGATCTATCAACAAGCAAGCCCCAGTTTCTAGGCTCTCTGAGGCTTTGTCCAAGCAGGGTAGCCGGCGGGTCACGCACCCAAAGCGACTGGATGTATCTTAACTCCCTGAAGCCAAAAGGGGCCCGAGTGAATTGAGCCAAGAAACCACAAGGTCTGAGATCTGACATAGCAACTCGACTTTTCGTGACCGTAAGTTAGCTGTTCAAGTTCCCATGACTCAGGCTAAGCACCCGCCCAAGAACCCAACAAGAAGACTTGCGGCCAAGGCCATCAGTTTCTCGCTCACAGGGGTTCAAGAACCGCAAACCCCGCTGGCCGTGCCAAGGTATTCCTAAGGCCGGCCGGCGCCATCAACTTTGGCCATCGGCACAGGAGAATGCCCCAGCATTTTCGACAGCTATAGTACGGGAGAACGGTCCTACATGCATCATATCTTGCATTGTGATAATTGTGATACGGACCCTGAATTGAGATCAGTTTTGGTACGTCTGCATCCTTCTGCCTCTAAAAGGCATGGCCCCATGCCGAAGTCGCGTTGTACTGAGATCTTGCCCCTTCAGGGCCGTCTCAGCACTGTGGCTGTCGCCTACGGCTCCTGCCCGCAGCCAGCCACGTGGAAAAAAACGCACCTTCCGAGTGGTTTGGTTCGGCTTCGGCGACCCCAACATCCTCCTACAGTGAAGGACACCTTCGCCTTATGGGCAAACGCGTTTGAGGCGCATGGCGCGCACACTACACATGTGCCATGGAAGTGGCAAGCCTTGGCCGTTTGGTCCGCGGGCGGAGCATGCATGAACTTGGGGCCCATTGGGCCTGGATGGGGCGAGAAAGTGCCCGTGGTTCGCAGCCCCGACCCGGCTCGCAGCCGCTAGAATTGGGCTCGTGGTCTGTTCACGAGGTTGGCACTCAGTGCACGACAAAAAATGGGGCGTGGCTGATGACAGTAACATGTCTTGATACCCCTAGCGAAAACGACTTGGTGTTTGCTGCTTTGTTGAATCTGCTTCTCTACCCCATCCCTAGACTCGGCATGTGTTGCTCACAGTCACCGCACGGAAAACCACGATGCTTACCTCGGGGTTGAGAGCAGTGGTGCGATGCGACCATTCCAAACACATCTTCTTTTGGGGTGGGGGTTTAAAGGGAAAACAAAAGGAAAGCTGAAGCCATCTTGGGGGTTCCCCCGACAACAAGGCGCACCCATTCCGGAAATCAGCGCTGGGGCTATCGGAAGATGCAGATCTGGAAAGCAACCTCTTTTTGACTCCTGGTCAAGGATGGCACCAGCCTAGGTTGCCTCCATCTCTTCTAGGATCCTCCGGCGATTTGATGAAGCTTCCCGTCACCGCCATTCGAAGGGGTCATGAAGCTTCTCTGATACATGTCCAGGCGTCGCATTTAAAATGCGCCACAGATCGCTTTTTGGGACGCAGTCTCAGTGCAGAACACCATCCCTGAAGCATTGAATGTTTTGACCGAACACGAGTCATAACCCAGAACCTGGTATGACAATGGTCGACCCAGACCCATGTAAAGAATGAAGAAGGCGGATTCCCGCAGCTATTTATGGTTGGGGTTGTCCCTCGCTCACCTTCATCTACCCGAATCGGTTTTGATTGTGACACACGTGAGATTCGAGCTCAGGATACCCTGGCGCTCGGGGCTTTCGGGGCCCCGGCTTCTTGGTGGCCGTGTTCGTGATCTTTTTCGCCCGCTGCGCGTACTTCAGAGACCTCGCGCAGAATGAGGGCAAGATGCTGTTGAGGGAGTTGCAAGCCCCCAAATCACAAGGTCTCTCCACCTTTGAAGCTCGCGAAGCATTGTGTTCGAGGGAACAACGCATTGGGGGCATGGCGTCGCGGCTTAATAACTGCCAGATTAAGCTGGGATCGAAAAAGAAGCGGTTGCACAAATGCCGCATAGACAGCTACGCACAGATGACACACTGTTTAGACTGTCCAGAGCAGGCGGATCAAAGGCAAAGCTACCGCTCATGTCCTGAAGCCATCTCAATGTACCTCAAATGGCCTCAGGAACAAATGCGCCGGGAGGGCATAAAGGTCTCGTCCAAGTTGGAGCTCGCGGGGGAGCAGTTCACAAACATCAGCGTCTTTGCCTGGAGCAGAGACACAACGGCATGGTTCCTGGGCCATCGAAGTGTTCCCCGGCGCGAAGCCGCTCGAATTTGCAACCACCCTTGGATTTAGCCACTGAACCTTGGATACTCTGCGTGCTTAGGGCCCAACAACTATGATCTGGATGTGGCCATGGGTCGAAATCCAAATCGTACCCCCAGTGAACATCCCAATCCAACCACTAAAATAGGTGGTGCCCCTAACCCAAAATGGTACCAAAACGGTTTGACCCACTGCCATGTGTGTGTGTGTGTATTGCAATCAGCCGATGCCGACGGCCAACTCACACAAGTAGTTTCATCGCGTGCTTCAGACTCACCGTTGTCGCGAACACCGCTGCGGTCGGATCTCATGTTGCAGTTGTTCAAGACCCGATTGAAGATCGACTGACCCGGGCAAGCGAAGTCCAACAGCAACCTGGAGATCCATTTAGGGCCAGACTTGGAGAGTCACACTACTTTGGGCGAATTCTCGCCGAGGTGCTGATCCCCCCAGGGAGTCTTGCATCAGCTGCGTGAGCTTGTGATTCCTGGCCGAAAGCAGCAGAAAAAACGCCCCGCAAACGGCAGTACTAGAAAGGGGCGAATCACGGAGGATTGGCGCAAAGTCGGGTACTGAGCTCTGGCAACAAACGAAATCAGGTGCCTGCTGGCGTAAGACTCTCCAAAACAGAAATAGCCAGGCTCACACGCCATGTCCGCAACGTGACAGCAGTCGCACCTCCGAATCAATCTGGCCTGTAGGGTACCACGCCTTTGCCGCCCTTGGTCAGCGCCTGGAAAAGCGTCTCCAGATTCAAGCAAGCACCAGAAGGAACAAGGGTCGCTGGCATTCCCCTTGAAAAGTTGATGAATTCACTGGTGGTTTCCCTTGAAACTGCAACTTTTCGGCGGTCCCGAAAAGGGGCAATTGGGAGA